TCAGTTTTTGGTTTCTCATTCTAGTTCTTCTTCTTCGACACTTTTGTAGCTTTAAAAGAACCATCGGTTCCTTTTGGTAGAACAAAACCAACATAAATATTATCATCAATAGATACCAAGTACTGAATAAGAAGTGGGTTTTTCGAATCAATATGCCTCAACATGGTATTTGGAATTCGATCAACAATTGGAAAAAGAATTGGATCATCAACAACAAGTCATGAAGTAGTCATTATTGAAAACTCAGCTCTTTAATCCTCTAATGAAACCAAGATCCCTTCTTGTACATAAACTTCCTTGAGAATCAAACTCCACTACCGAGCACATGAATTAAAGAACTAGAACTTGTTAGGAAAAAGTTTATTGGTTTTAGAACATTTAATCAAGATCACACATGTCGAATGGAATATGATTTTTAATATCGAAAAGGTATTGAAACAAGTGTTTCGTTATAATCTTGAACATAATTTTTAACATCCGTTCCTTAAAAGTTTGGATTTTTAGGTTTTCCCATCATCATGAAAAAACGACTCAGGATCATAAACACATAGTGTTGCAGCATCTTCATTCTGGTAGGTTTCGACCAGAGATGTCAAGGATATGAAGTGAAGTGTATGATTATGATTGAAACTTTGGTGAAAAATATTGTGTGTAAGAACTCACTGTACCTCTACGAAATGTATGGATATAGCAGAAATCTCTTTACTCATTATGTAAAGAGAAAGGTACCTCTTCGACTAATGTGAATATAGCTTACTTTGGAAGGAACGTTCGTAATGAGAGTTCCATTAAGGCTTTGAACACATAAAGTCTATGAGGCTTGAGGTCAACATAGCATAGCATGCTTCTAGGGAATCCTAACTAGTACATTAGTTCGAATTAATACATGTTCTCTTTCTGAAAATGATCATTAAACATACACCACAACAACATGTTGTACAATGAGCCACGAAGAGTTAAACATAATATGAATCAAACAAAAACAAGAAAATCTTTTTGGTTTTTTAGTTTTTGAAAAACAAATACAAAAATCAGAAAATATTTTTCAATTTTTAGTTTTTGGAAAACGAATACAAAAATAAGAAAAACTTTTTGGATTTTTGATATTTGAAACAAAAGAAACAGAAACAATCTTATAAATATTACCCAATGACGTCCAAACTAGCAGTTAGCAACCAACAATTATGTTGCATATCGAACTGATTTCTTTCCTACGAAGCAAATTGATGTCAGAATGATTATGAGGAATTGCAAATACGAACAGATGCTAACGTTGAACTGGAAGAACAACCTTTGAACAATTCAGAAAAACACCAATCAAATTAATACCATTTCGATCAAGAAGAATCTGGAACATAATTTTCTTCGATCATCCACAATCCATTCAAAATCCTTAAAATTATTTCTCATATAAAGGTTCCGTAAAAATATCTACACGTTGATCAGTTGTTTTCACAAAGTAGAATTCAATGTTCCTATCTTCTACATGGTCTATGAGGCTTGAGGTCAACATAGCGTAGCATGGTTCTAAGGACTCTTAACTAGTACATTAGTTCGAAGTAATACATGTTCCCTTTCTGAAAATGATCATTGAGCATACACCACAACAGCATGTTGTACGATGAGCCACGAAGAGTTAAACATAATATGAATCAAACAAAAACAAGAAATCTTTTTGGATTTTTAGTTTTTGAAAAACAAATACAAAAATAAGAAAATCTTTTTGGATTTTTAGTTTTTGGAAAACAAATACAAAAATAAGAAAAGATTTTTGGATTCTTGATATTTGAAACAAAAGAAACAAAAACAATCTTATAAATATTGCCCAATAACGTTCAAACTAGCAGTTAGCAACCAACAAATATGTTACATATCAAATTGCTTTCTTTCCCACGAAGCTAATTGATGTCAAAATGATTATGAGGAATTTCAAATACGAACAGTTGCTAACGCTGAACTGGAAGAATAACCTTTGAACAATTTAGAAAAACACCAATAAAATTAAGACTATTTCGATCAAGAAGAACCTAGAACATAATTTTCTTCGATCATCCGCAATCTATTCAAAATCCTTAAAATTATTTCTCATCTAAAGGTTCCATAAAAATATCTACAAGTTGATCCACTGTTTGCACAAAGTAGATCTCAATGTTCCTGTCTTCTACATGGTCTTTTATAAAGTGATAGCGAAGAGTAATGTGTTTGGTTTTTGAATGTTGGAATGGATAGTGGTAGATGTGAATGGAACTTTGTGAGTCATAATACGAAGGAATTTTCTTCATATTGATTTCATAATTACGTAGTTGACTTTGTATCCAAATTACATGAGATGTGCAAGCTGCAACAACCACATACTCTACTTCTGCAGTCAAAATCGAAACCCCCATTTGTTTCTTTGATTGCCAGCTTACTAATTCGCCGTCCAACAATTGACATCCGCCTATCGTGCTCTTTCGATCAAGTTGATTGGCACCTAGATATGCGTCTGAAAATTCATATATAAAGAATCTTGTCTTCGATGGATACTATTGGCCCGACAAATCTGTTCCTTTGACGTAGCAAAATATGTTCTTTACAACATTGGGATAGGGTTCTCTTAGGTTCGATTGGTACCTAGCAAAGTTACAGACAACAAGCATGATATCAGGTCAACTTGTTGTTAAGTACAAAAGTGAACCTATCACGATGTGATGTGTTATTAAATCCACAGCTGGCTTGTCCAACGAAGGGCTCAAGCAAGTTCCAACTGCCATAGGTACTTTGACCATTGTGTTATTCGTTGTCCCAAATCTTTCAAGTAGGTTGTGCGTATATTTCTCCTAATTAATAAAGATGCCTATCCTGCTTTGATGAGTAAGTAAACCCATAAAATTATTTATTTTTCCCATCATGCTCATTTTGAAGTAACTTTTCATAAGCTCCTCAAATTCTTTAAATAATAAAGGTCAGTCTAATCAATATTTTTATCATCTACATAAATTTGAACAAGCATTAGAAGATCCCCAACTTTCTTTCGGAATAATGTGGGATCAACTAATCCTTGTTTAAATTTAACAATTTTCAGGAAGTTAGTCAAAGTTTCATACTAGGAACGATGTGCTTGTTTCACCCTATAGACTGCCATATCTAAAAGATAAGAGTAATCAGGATACTTACAATGATGAAACCTGGTGGTTATTCGACATACACTGTTTCCTCCAAAACTCCATTGAGGAATGCACACTTTACATCCATTTGATACACATCGAAATTTTTATGCACTGCATAAGCAAGAAAAATTTGAACATCGTCGAATCTTGCAACAGGGACAAATGTTTCCTCATAATCGATTCCTTCTTGTTGAGAATAACCTTTAACGACTAATATTCGCTTATTTCGAATTACATTACCTTCTTTATCAGTTTTATTTTTGAAAATCCATTTAAAACCAATTAACATAACATTTAGGAATTAACCTCCAAACTTTTTTTTTCGTTTAAATCCAGCTAGTTCAGATTGCAATGCAATAACCTAATTAGACTGTTTTAATGCAACCTTTACTATTTTTGCTTGAAGTTTCAAAATAAAAATGGTAAACATACAGTATTCTGATGAACATTAAGCACTTTATTTTTAGCTCGAATTTGTGCTCATGTCAAGAGTCCACCAAGTGGATCACCAAGAACATGTTCCTTTGGATGATTTCATATCCATTTACCCATTGGTGGATATGCATGATCAAAATCTAAAGGTGCATCTTCGAATACCTCATCCGCTTCTAAACCTTCTCCTGCATTTGAAATATTGTGAGTGACCTCATGACAATCATTAGTTTTATCATTTAGATTCAATCCACTTGGTTCACCCTCAACCAATGAATGTGAGTTTTGATGCTCCCCCTCGAAATCCGCATGGACTAGCACATGCTCCCCCGAAACTTGAGAAGTAGTTCATACATGCTCTTCCTGAATAGTTGAATCTTGATTTACATAATTTTTAATGTCGAACTTAAGTGCTCCCTATCCACTTGATCATCAGACGAAACCAACATTCGTTCAATATTCACTCATGAAGTTGATGTAGAACGAGTGTCATTTTCTTTCCTTGTAATAGTCAAATCATCTAAATGCTTTGATTCTTCAAGAATACGATTGTCATTAGCAGGTTTTCAGCATCAATTACCCTATCTATAATTCCATAAATCAAATCATAATTAATATCATAAGAATTCATGATTTCAGACTCATCATTTGTTTAAAAAATGATAGTCTTTTGTATGCACTACTAGAAAAACAGCCTTTTACGACGCTCATTGCGCGTCGTAAAAGGCTCAGATGACGCGCAAATGCGCGTTAAGGAAGGCCCTGTCATAAAGAGAGACGACGCGCTTTGGCGCATCGTCTATAGACGACGCGCTTTTACGACGCTCATTTACAACGCGCAATTACGACGCGCGTTTACGACACGGAATGCGTATCAAGGAAGGCCCTGTCATAAAGGAAGACAACACGCGTTCGCGTGTCGTAACCTTACAACGCGCGTGTTAATGACACGCAATGCGTATCAAGAAAGCCCCTGTCAAGAAAGGCCATGTCATAAATGAAGATGACACACATTTTTGCGTATCGTAAATTTAAATGTTTAAAAAAATAAATTTATATATTTATTAATTTTTAAATTAAATTTGCATTTAATTTCTCATAATAGAAATAAAACACCATATACAAAAAATACAATCCATTGCACAAAAATTAATGTCATACAAGATACAAAATAAAATACAATAAATAAGTAAGATAATTCATTGCATCAAATGTCAAATACAAGTAATCATCGGTAACTATATAACCTAATACTACATTGCTATTAAGGGACATCATCATAACTTACCGAAGGTCTTGGAACAATGTTCTCATCATCAACTCTTACACCAACCTTGGTTTAGTAGATGACTTTCACACAATCAATATTGAAATAGATGCTGCCCGGGCCACCATAGATGATGCCCGAACATTCCGAGTTCACACTTCCACTGTTTGCTTCATCTCTGCTAACCTCTTTCTGCTTCAAGAACACAAAAGAAAATGAAACCATGAAAATATCACATGAAATTTAATACCCTCATAAAATGATATTAGGATTAAGGGAGTTGAAGGTACTTGTATTCTTTGAGGAAACAACTATCATCAAGATCATCTTCTAAATCTTTGAGTTCTTCTGTCTTTTTATCGATCTGAGATTTGGTTTTAGGTTTGGAATCTTCATCTTCTGCAGGAGTGAAGGGATCGGGTTTGAAGGCAGAGGGTTTAGGAGGTAAGTACCTGAGTTTTGTTTGAATATCATCCCATTGAGTTGATACTCCTTCAACATCTTTGTAGACAAAGTGAAGATCAGCTTTATCACTTGGCTCCCAAGATCTCTACATGCATAAGGAATAATGGGTATTAAGACTTAAGAGATTACATGATAAAAGTTATAGAATATGAATTACAATATAGATCATACCTTCATATATCTTTCCTGCCCATCAAAAGCCATTTGTAGTTTCAGCTGACTTCTGGTAGATGCTAGGATTTAAAAAAAGCAATTAAGTTAGCTTTATCAAATTTAATACATGAATTTGGTAACTTTTTAAGGAAATTGATAAAATAGTAAGAACATGTGTCTCCAAAGAGCCAAAACCTCCTTCAGAACCAAGAATGTTGATTAGCTCTTCAAATCCTCCCATGATTGACTCAATGAGCGACTCAACATATAAAACTGCATCTCGACCAATTCTAGTTAACTGCATCAACCAATCAATATTCAGTAAATTTCCCTTCAAAATATAAAATAAAATTTACATATAAAATTTAGAGTAAGTTACACTTTCGGCCCCTGTTCCAAGTAAAGTTGGGAAAAAGAACCAAAAATGTTACAAGCCTTCATTTCCAGTAGACCATTCCCTTCAGATAACAAGCCTTCTTTTCCAGTAGACACTGTTGCTTTCTCCAAATGTCTTATGTTAATTGAAGATCGTGCAGAAGTAACAATCATTAAAATTGATAACCAATCTTTACATAATTCCTGTTTATGTAATTTTTTTATACATTATATACATGAGTATAAATATAAATAAATAAAACAAAACCATGTCACATATTTGAATGGATTAAAATTAAAGATTATACTTACTGATAAATCACATGTAATTGCAGAGATATTTGCACCCTGTGGTTTTGGAATATTTTCAAGATGGTCAATTTTTTTTTTTGGAAAAGCCCTATTAGAGTGGTGTCCAGGTCAAGAGCATGATATTAACTGCATTGTCAACTATCATTCCAGGTATAACCTTCATCAACACTTGCACAACATATTCCCTCTTGTTGTAGTTGTCATTCTGTAGCATCACTCTATATGGTGGTGCCATTTTCCTTGATTTCCTAAAAAAACAAAAAAAAAAAGGGTAAATCGACCTAATCTTTTACTATATGCATTTCAAACTTCATTGAAAGTGATACAATACCTCAAGTCAAACTCAGACTCTCTTCCAGGAGTTGTTTTCTCTATTACTGGCTTATCTAACACCCCAACACCCTTTTCCAGCCTTGGAGGCGCCATTGTCATAACTGTGATCCATTTTGTGCTTTGTTTATGAAGCAGGTATTTGTCCCCTGTGTATGGTAGAGTAATCCGTTTATGACAATTATTTCTTAGAGCAAAGTAACAATTCTGATAACAAATAGAAATGTTCAAATGTTTGTGAAGTAAAAAGAATGATTCTTGGTTAAGATTCAGCATGCTAGGTGTATTCAGTAAAAACCGGACGCGGACCGCTGAAGATGATGGGTAGGATAAACCATACCCTCTCACAGCTGTAAAAACATTGTGTAAATATTTAAACCCGAGCCTCAAGGGTAAAAAGGTAATTAAACATTTTATACCCTCACCTACAATGTATTTGTGGGATCATTTGCATTCTACACGTGTTGACAAGTCAAACTTGGTAATTAATATATATATATATATATATATATATATATATATATATATATATATATATATATATATAGAAAAAACAATAATTTATGAAGTAATATCTGCCCCCACCTATTCACAGAAGCTCTCTCTTTGCATCATAAAAGTCACATGGCCTGCCATAATATGGTCTTTTGCACCCATCCTCACAAAGATACGATCAATCGGGAGACATCTTAAAGATTTGCGCAGGCACATCTGCCCCCACCTGGAACATCCATCCATAACTAACTGTATGAATATTGAAAATAATACCTAATTGTATGAACATCCATCCATAACTAACTGGAGATCCTGTTTCAATATCAATTGCAAGAATAGAACAATATGGAGAACCAGTGAGGATCACTGATGACAAAAACACACATTCAAAATCAAGTTTAAAGAAATAGCAACTATGTTGCTACTGAGGGTAAAAAGTAAATTACATGGCTCAAGAGTATATAAAGTATAAACGATGTTGGTTCATTACCAAGTCCTTCATTGATAAATCTAATAGCTCTACAAGATTCACTGTGTGCACGAACTTTCAACACCCTGAAATGATAGTTTTTAGAGAAATCACATTATAAGAACGCTTTTTAATGACGAAATGACCCCTAAAAATGTTATCTAACAAAATGAGAGTCAACTACCTCATGGTGAGTGGATTCTTCAAGTGTATCTTTCCTAAAAGATGAAAGCCTGGAAGAAGCTGCAGCAGCAGTAGTTGCAGCTGTAAGCACATCTTGGGCTTCCTTGTGCCTTCTCTCTTTTCTCCCTTGTTTCTTGACTTCTCTAAGCTCAAAAAGATATTGGCTCATCAACACAGCATCCCGGTTTCATTTTCTTAGTGTCTCAATCTCTTCTAGAAGAACCTTGATCACCTTTGAAATCAAATAATCTAAAACAATAAATAAAAAAACATCACAAATTAAAACATCCAACCTTCTTATTTTGATACTTAGTAAGTTGCAATGATTAAATTTTCAAACTTACATGGTATCAAGGATGTCATTCATAGGATTTAAACAATCATGGTTCCCAAGATTGCATTTCACACTAGTATCACACTTAGATTCTATAGCCTCAGTTTGACCACTGTAAGAATTATTGACCAACAGATCAGAAGTAGGACAGGATTCTGCTGATATCTGCAAGAAAAAAAGTTAAAGTTATTGTTAGATTCTCAAAGCCACCAATCTATAATCATCAATATACAATCACAAAGTTGATTATGTGACAACCTTTTCCATAATCACAAAGTTGATTATGTGACAACCTTTTCATTTGATGATCTGTCAGATGGATTTATGTCAGTTAAACTAAAACAAGATACATTGGCACTCACATTATCAACTGGTGAATATGATTTCATGTAAAAGTAGAAATCTTCTTTCCGAGGATCACCCCATTCCTGCAATAGAGCAAGTCATTCACATTTAGAAAGAAACATACTAATATTATCATAGCATCCTGCTTTGAGTTTCCAAAACAAAAAAATATTATATATAAATCACCTCCCATTCTGCAGTTGTAAGAGGAATAGTTGGACCAAGCATTGTAGTCACAACATCTATAAATGGTACTCCAACTATAGTAGCCTTAAATAAATCAGGTCTCATGTTCACAACAGCACCAATAAGAAACCCCCTGCACTTCTTCCATTAATGGATAGCTTTTCTTTCGTACAATATTTCTTTTGGTCTGAGAAGTTTGAGTTCCACCTATGTCGTTGGGTGATTGAAGGCGATGAGGTTGCGTTTTCTTCTTAGATAGAGGGAGGGAAAGAAAGTAAACACAAACCTCACAGATTAGAGAGGTTATCGAAACCAGTAAGGGGAACACCAATGAAAAATCCAACGAATTATTGAGAGAAAAACTGATTTTTGTTTGTTTAAAAGCTAGCGAAGTATCAAGAAATTTCCAATCCAGGAGAATTCAGAAAGCAGATACATAGGTACCTGATTTGGCTAGAAGCGCAACTGGACTAGGGTTTGTAAATTTAAGGAGTCGTTGTAGACGGAGTAGGGTAGAGGTGAAGAGGAGTTCAGTTACGAATTTTATGTTGAGATTATTGTGTCTAAATTTCGCCATAAAAAGACGATCGGGAGAGAATGGTCTTCGATTTTTGAAAGGAAGCGAGGCTGTTACAGAGAGGGGGGGTCAGACTCACATGGAGATCTAAGGAGAGAGTGAGCGGTCTTCGATCCGATCGAGAGAGAATCATCGCCATAAAGATACGATTGAGGAAAATCGTCTTGAGAGGTGAAATTATTTGGGAAGAACTTGAAGCATTTGAAACCCTAGACCTTGATTCGATGTAACTTGATAGTGGACATTGTAGATTGATAGATTGAAGACCTGGAGCGATCCCTTGTGAAGAAAGTTGCGTGATTACAGAGAGTCCTTGTTGACCGGATCTGAAGATTCCGTCAATGGCTCTATCGGGTTTGGTTAAATCCCCAGTTTGGAATGTGCTACATCTGGTTCATGAACTTGCCAAGTCAATTAGGGTTTTTTAATGAAAAATGAAAGGGGTTAATGGATTAGGATGATGTTGTACCTGAGAAAACAAAGAAAAGAAGGAGACCTCGCAGATCAATTACGATTCACCTTCGAGGTTTACAGAGAGATGGGAGGTAGAGAATGAAGGGAGATCTAGAGGAGAGAGTATCAGAGAGGGGAGAGGGGATTGCAAGGATGAAAAATAGATAGAAGATAGAAAAAACAAGGCGGGTTTTCAAAATTTTGGGGATTTCGTTTCCCCCTTCATTAACTAAAAGCGCGTTTCATTAAAATTATAAAGCGACATGTACAGACGACGCACATTTAAGATAAAGCGCCCTCCGTGTTTCTAATTTTTTTTCTTGAGACACTAAATTAAGGGCACGCAATAATGCGTGACGTAAATCCTTAAATTTTTTGGAGAGATAACACTATTTTAAGGGCACGTCCTATTGCGTATCTTTAATCAGCGCGTGTCGTAAAAAGCGCATCGTTAAAGGTCTTTTTTCTAGTAGTGATGAATGACTGTTTGACTCGCTTGACATAACAGTCATGAAAAGTAAGATTGAAATTTTCTTCGATCTCCATCGTTTGTTTATTCAACACTCTATAGGCAACATAATTGTGCGAATATCCCTGGAAAATTCCTTCATCAGCTTTCGACTAAAATTTTGAAAGATTGTCCTTTAGATTCATTATAAAACATTTGCACCTAAAACATGAAAGAATTGATATTCATCCATCAGGAGAAATACATGACTGAATTGTTGAAGATGTTTTCAATGGATAATTGCTCCTCGGTAAAGGTCCTTATGGCGTTTGAGTATAAAATCTCAGCTAACCCTATCGGAGAGTTAGTTTATCACAATCTATACTGAGGAATGATTGGCTCATTGATGTACCTTACTGCTAGTTGACCGAATATTATGTTTGCTACTGGTTTATATGCTAGATACCAGCTTGATCCTAAAGTATCTCACTTGACCACAGTCAAACAGATCTTCAGGTATCTAAAAGGAAGTAAAGCTTTGGGTATTTTTGAAGGTAACAATTTTAGTCGTCAAGCTTTCACAGACGCAGATCATGTCGGGTGCAGACTTGATCGAAAGAGCACTTTGGGTTGATGTTAGTTATGGGTTGGAAGATTAGTTAGTTGGTCTTCAAGGAAAGAAAACTATGTTTCATTGTCTAACACAGAGGTGAAATTTGTGGCCGCAGCCAGTTACTGCTCCAGGTCCTTTGGATGATGACATAACTATTAGACTACGAGTACAGGATGATGCGGGTACCCATCTCTTGTGATTCAAAGAGTACAATAGGAATTTCTTATAATCTTATTCATCACTCGAAGAAGAAACATATAGAACTACGGTATCACTTCATCAAAGACCACATCCTCAATGGTTACATTGAGCTTATTTTTTTTCCAATTCATGAGGAAATAGCTGATGTTTTGTCACACCCCAAAACCAAGAATGGAGGAAACATTCAGGGGTGGAGGATGTCATGTACAATATAAGAACAATGCAAAGCAGTAAACAAGCAACAACATCATCCATTACATTAAAAGTAACGATTTAATACATGTGTGTTCTTTAATAGTAACAAGACACCAAAATATGTAATCAAAATGAAAGACGAGTCTTGTATGTGCTCCGTCTTGTCAAAACCTGGTCATCGTACCTGTCTACTCGTGACCTGAGAATACAAGTTATTTTGAAAGAGTAGATCAGCATAAAGCTGGTGAATTCATAAGTATTTAAGTGTCATTATTCTGTTTTGGAAAGCTGTTATGAATGCCATGTAAATCTTAGAATGAACATTTGATATAAGTATGAAAACCCGAGAAAATCCCATATTTCCTGCTAGTATAAAAGTAGTCTTCTACCAAGACCCGAATGTTTTGAAAGTAGTCTTCTACCAAGACCCGAATGTTTTGCTGTAAAAAAGATGGTTTTCCCCTTTATGACTGCTATTAACAATATATAGTTTACCTCATCCTTTATGTGAATGTATCACAAAATAAAAGTAATAGGGAAAATATAGCCATGAAAGTATTATCCTTTGGCATTAGGATAAACACGACATCGCGACTGCCGAAAAGTATCAACCTTGAACATCCGTAGATTGTTCATTTTCCTCTGTAGCTAACAGCAGGTTAAAGGAATGGTTAGTCCCGTAAAGGTAACCCTAGTATAAGTATTAACTGTAGGCATCCATATATGTTCATTACCTCTATTGCTAATAGGTGGGTGGCAGAATGGTTAGTCCCGTAAAGTATCCTTTTGAACTAGGATAGACAGAGCTAAACTACATGTATGATATGTAATACTATCTAGGTACAAGTATCCATGTAAGTGTATCCATGTAAGTGTATCTCTTCATATAGCATTTAGTATAGACTCATGAATGAACTGACTCTGGTGTAATTCCTTGTAATAGGAATAATGTTTTGTATCTCCTAACTATCCCTATAATAGTTTACTGGAAGGTAATTGATGTCCAAGAAGGTTTATACACCCTTGCTACACAAGAGTGTGGGAACTGAATGAAGGATGAAAGCTATCATATCAATACATATATAAGAACATAAGTGTATAGATATAGTTTTGATCAAGAGGATAAAAATGGTTTTGTGAGACATTTAAGAGTTTTAAACAATTATTAACAATGACTTGATGTCATTTTTAATAAACATTTCAAAAGTAATACATTTGATAAAAAAGTATTTTTAAGATAGAAAACCATTTCATGCATCACATTTTGAAGTATGTGAAATCTGCTGGATGAAAACACAGTTATAAATCACATATGATTGATTCATTAACATGCTGTTTTCTACTTGTATTCCCCCCGATTAAAGCATTTAAAATCATTTAAAAAACTGATTATGGGGTATGAAGTCGCCTGTAGATGGTGGTTTGAATGAACTGAACGATGTAGGACTGCTAAGTGTCAAGTGAAGACTTGTACACACTCAAGATCCTTGTTACAATATAATCACACATATATGTATCCAATTAGTCTTTAAATAACTAATTGCCAATGTTAAGACATCCTAGAACATGTTAAACACCGTATATAACTGTTATAAATCCTAAGGATTGCATCTAAGTTGTTGTAGGACAAAGCTATTGGGTCTAGGGTTCCAAAGAACCCCTTTCTTGAGTTTACTCCCCAAGAACCATAACACAAGGAGTTTACGGTCGTAAACCCTTGAGTTTGCGGCCGTAATCTCTTAATCCGTTGATTATTTAATGTATTGATGCCTTACATGTTCCTTAGAAGTATTTCTACTTGATGATTTAGTCCTTGGAAGAGATTAGGGCACCCTTTAACTCCTTTGAGGAATTTACGACCCTAAGACCAAATCCCTTAGGGTTTTCGGCCGTAATCTCTCATGGACATGGTGTTTTTGTGCTTTCATGTCCTACACACATTAGGGTACGAGTCTAGGCTAGTTTCACAAGGAATAGAACGGACTAGGGCACACTTTTGGCCCTTAAAGAAGGGTTTACGGTCCAAGGTGTTCTTGGGCTGTAAACTCTTTGATCTTGTTGTTTTCTTATGATTTCTTGGTTATTAGACATATAAAAAGCCCTATTATACTCTTAGAAAGAAGCATTCACGATTTGAGATGAAAGGCCGAAGATCCTTGAGAGAGAATCGGGTTTTTCTCTAGTTGGAAATGGAACAAATGAATAAATATGGCTAAGGACCATATATATACCCTTGAGGTTTAGGACTGCAAACTCCATGTTTGGGTCGTAAATTTCCAATTTCATGTACTATGAAAGTTTATTGTTGCACAATAAACCTTAGAGCATCCCCTCTCCTGGCATCTCCTAAAGTGTTAATCATAAAATGCTCAAACTTATCCTAAATAGTCTGAAAATGAACAGTAACTGTTCTGACTTCTATTGACTTGATATGTTGTACAAAGTGTAAATTTCAGGTTGTCACATCATTCCCCCATTAGAAGGAATTCCATCCTAAAATTAGAATTTAAGCAAACAAGTTATTACAAATAACTAAGAAAAAAGATGAGGATATTTCAGTTTCATCTCATCCTCTCGTTCCCATGTGAATTCAGGTCCTCGCTTGGCGTTCCAATGTA